ACATTTTTGAAAATAATGTGGGCCTGATGCAAACATTATTATTGCAAAAAAAGTTGTCTTCCAAACGCAATTTAAAAATGGTTTGTTTTAAAAACGTATATCTGTACTTTGGCTGTTCATTGGTATACTTGAACAGCACACTTTATTAAATTTGACGGACTCCATATCTGCGAGAGAGATATGGTGCCAAACGCGTAAAAGCTCTAATTTTCCATTAGAACCGTGTCAGATGTGTTACCTATTTTGAAACAATTATGAATGTTCCCGAAGATTGAAGGTTACAGCGCACACAGATAAACTTATTTGATCAAGAAGGGCATAAGCCACTCATAACACATAACTTATTATTCACACGTATTAAAATTATTTGAGGTCTACGATAGTCGTTGTCAATAAGGCAATATTCTGATAAATAGATGGTTTGAAGTCATTATCTAGTAGTATTGTGAAACAAATACAAAAAATATACTAAGTGACATATAAATCCGAACAATAAAATTTTGTATAAGTACTTAATGAAGCATAATAAGTAAATGATAAAAATTTCAAAATGATTGCACTGCTTTAAAGCCCTTTGACCTTTAATAATGTGTCGATGCACATCAGGATGTGCTACGCATTCTCCAACGCGCCTAGGCATGCTTCTGATCAGGTGGTCAATGTCCTCCTGTGGTATCTCATTCCAGGCAACCACCAACTCCTCTCGAAGTGCTTCTAGAGTTTGAGGAAGACGTTGCAAATTGAGCAATCTCCTAACCATCATACCCCACACGTGCTCAATTGGGGATAAGTCGGGAGATCTTGGTGGCCGTGGTAACAATGTGACATCATTATGTTGAAAGAAGTCTATTGTGACTCTTGCAACATGTGGCCGGGCATTATCTTGTTGGAAAGTTGGATCTGCCCGGGTTGTCAAGATAGGATAAAAAATGGGGTTCTAGAACTTCGTGGATATAACGCTGCGCGTTCATGTTACCTCTGATGAAGATTAAAGGTGATCTGGAACCATAATCTATAGCACCCCAAACCATAACTCCAACAGTGTGATGAACATGTCTTTCAACAAAAAACTGTGGATTCCTCCTTTCACCGCCTTCTAACCCTGGCACGACGATCGTGCATGTCTAAACAAAATCGAGACTCGTCACTAAAGACAATACTGTTCCATTCCTGATCCCAGAGTGACCGCTGTCTGCACCACTCAAGGTGATTACGTCGGTGTTCTCGAGTTTTAACTCCCTTTAGGGAGGACCCAGTGTGGCCGGTATGAAAACAAGCCAAAACTTCTCATTCGTCGGTAAACACTTCGCATGCCAATAGGTCTTCCGTGTTCTGCAAACCATTCATTTGCAATGGACCTGGTAGTGGAGAAACGGTCCCTTAAGGCCAATAATCTTAGGCGGCGATCTTCACGGTCTGCTGTTCTACGGCGGCGTCCAGTGCCCCTTGCTCTTTGCTTACGGCCTTTTCGAAGCCATGCCTGACAACACCTAACCACAGTGTCTACACTTCTTTGCACTCTAACTGCAATTGCCCGAAAAGAAAGTCCAGCTTCCCCAAGTCCCATTATACGGCCCCTCTCAAACTCTCTAAGTTGACGAAATCGTACAGGTCTCCGTACTCTAGGCATCGTAACCGATCGTAAAGGATGTCAAAAACCAAAATCCGCCAACGTTGATTCTTTACTGCGGCTGAAATATGCATTTTTAGAGCGTTAGTGAATTAAAGCAGTATAAAAACCGGAATGTCCAACTGATAAGGCTGAAAATTTTTTCACTTGTTATATACAGTAAGATAAATACATTCACCAACTTTTATTAAAATAAAACCATTTAAATTGGGTGTTCGGATTTATATGTCACTTAGTATAGCTTTCCTACGTAACAAAAGCATAAGCTACATCTTTAATGGCAGTAAAGCCACAAACTTTGATCTCTGTATTGTATTGTACGTGAAAGGCAATTCTCCACTCACACTGATTTTCACTCTGTTATGAAACTCGGATTTGTCCTAATAGCCATCGCCTTGACAAAACGGGGCATTTTCATGGTGTTAAATTATTTAAAGTGTTGCCGAAACCTGTCAAATCGCCGAGTATGGCTGTTTTCCACAAGAAACTCAAAGGCTATCTAACAAATAAAGCATCCTTCTGTATTGATGAACATTCGACAAATAACTTTTGTAATATGTAAATATTCATATTATTTATTATTTATTTTAGCCAGTCCGGCACGGGTATTATGTAAAAAACCTATAAAACGCCAAAAAGAAAATACTAAATGTCATTTTGCAGACTAGCTGATTTTTAAGATGCAATCATTCCACGTTTGCTCACTAGGATCGTTGTGAGCATCTATCTATGGGGGAATGACTCAATTACATGCATTGTTGATTGTATATGTTTTGTGAAGCCGAGTAGTATGTAGTTTTCATCTCTGAGAAGATGTGAAACGAAGAAAGTTTGTTGAATAGCAAGATTGCATCAAAATTATTATTGAATATGCTGCCAATGAAGTATCTATTAGCTGTGCCCGACGCGTTATTTATATGTTGTCCTTTCTAAAAACAGGTTATGTTCAAAGTTATAAATTACGATTTTTCATCACAGAAAAGTTACGCATTACGCATAAAAAATTTTCGCAATGCCTCACACCTAGGCGCTGATTTGTATTTTCTACTGACATCGCAAAATAAATTTCTATAAAAGTTAATTGACTGGAGATAAAAAATAATGTAATGACCTTTGCACTTTCATACATATTCCTGTTGGTAGCATATTTTCTCACCTGTTCCTTCACCGACCAGGGATTTTCTTTTCTTATCTCTCTCATTTTTGAAATTCAGTAAATTTGCATATGTAATTTCCAGAATGGATAAGAAAAAGTGGACGCGTAACTAATTCCTGGCTTTGAATCTCAAGTAATTGTATTCGAGACAAGAATCCAATGGAATTATCATCAACACATATTAAAGGGTGTCCCAAAATTAACGCAAGATTTGAATTAAATAGAAAATGCCATTTTTAGTCTTTTAATAGTTATATTTTTATTGACTCATAAAGTACATAGGATAGGGTTATGTATGGAATAACACATCGGACAAATGGCCTCCACGGCTTTGCATGCACATGCGCACTCTTTTGTCGAAATTTTCCATGACCCTTCTGCATAAATGTGGCTGAATTTCGTTGATGCAGCGTTGAATCTCCTCCTTTAATGCACGGGTGGTTGTTGACATAGACTTGTGATTTCAAATAACCCCATAAAAAGAAGTCTAATGGTGTTAAATCACACGATCTAGGAGGCCAATTTTGATCACCGAAACGAGAGAGTACACGACCGGGAAATGTCTCAAGCAGTAATTGAATTGTTTCACGGGCTGTATGACATGTGGCACCGTCTTGTTGAAACCACATATTGGGTACATCAATATCATTCAATTTTGGCAGAAAGAACTGTGTAATCATGTCGCGATATCGAGCACCAGTAACAGTCACTGCTTGACCAGCATCATTTTCAAAAAAATATGGCCCAATTATGCCTCCAGCCCAAAATCCACACCAGACAGTCACGCGTTGTGGGTGCATTTCTTTTTCGACAATCACACGTGGGTTCTCCGAACCCCAAATGCGGCAATTTTGGCGATTGACAAAGCCATCAAGATGAAAATGTGCTTCATCGCTTAGGATGATTTTGCTTGAAAAATCAGGGTCCATTTGTTGATGTTCAATAATCCATTCAACAAACTCTCTTCTCTCTGCATGGTCATTAAGCTTCAATTGTTGTGTTAATTGAAGTTTGTAAGCATGAAGACACAGATCTTTGGTGAGTATACGCTGTAGAGAGGTTCTTGACATTTGCAATTCTTGTCCACGACGTCGAATTGAGGTTCCTGGATTGTCCGCAACACTTTCACGCACTGCTTCGATATTCACATTTGAACGGCTTGTTTTTGGACGGCCAGTGTGTTTGGCGTCTCCAACGGATCCAGTCTCCATGAATTTTTCAATTAATCTCTTCACAGTTGACGAAGTTAAAACACTATTCCGGCCATATTTTGTATGAAATTTTCGAACTGCAGCCGCCAAGCTTTCACTATTTTTGAAATATTCTTTAATAATGAAGACACGTTGTTCTATCGTGTAACGCTCCATTTTTCATAACCCTATACTGTTAGCTGTCAAATTGCTTTTTTTCAGGGTTGCCAACACTTCATTGCACAAATGGCGGCAAATTCAAATCTTGCGTTAATTTTGGGACACCCTTTATTAGCACACAAATCCTCACTATGCACCTAGGCATTGCCGTTTCCTTCTAGCTGTAGTATACAACTTACAGCTTAGATCTTCAGTAATGCCATCTCTGAAGCAGATTTTACATCACATCAAAGCCAAGATCTTGTAGAACAACCTACATCATGTCTCAAAAAACCAATACAATGTCAAAAAAAATCGACATAATGTTACTTTTCAAGATACGTAATACCCGTGCAGCTCTGCCCCATTTTTCTCTTGTGTGTTTATATTCATCTATTTTGACGAATTTGCGGTTGTGTCAATGTTCTTATTTATTTTACTGTGTTTGTATGCCTGTTTTATTGTTAATTAATTTCTAAATGCCTCTCAAGGCAGGCATGTCTTCTCAACAAGTATCCTTTTGACTTGTGTAAACACCAATGCATTATTATTATTATGATTATTATGCTTATTATTACTATTATTTATTATTATTATTATTATGTTCATCGCTTTCACCATCAACAAATGTCTGGTTGGCGCCCATCTTGAAATTTGAGTTGCGAATAGATTTCTAGAAGCAAACATGTGTGGGATAAGTCTTGGTTGTTTAAATACACTATTTGGAAATTATAGCGACATAGATACTTACGCCGCAGGTTCTTTTAGATGGAAACGTGTTTTCTTATTCAAATGTGCCATAAGTAACTTATTGCTCCAAGCTCTTCAAGCGTTATTAATTAATTAGTTCTTAATCATTCCTTACCTGTACTGGTCTTCAACTTCGTCAAATCCATCTATCTTCACGATATTCCATTCCCCTTTACTCTTCGCGTAGCTGAATGAAATCTGAAAATAAAAATCCAACTTTACGCCTTGTTTTGTATCTCAATAAATATCTCAGCTAACATTTCTCTTTGGAATTTCAGATAGTTATCTACGAGAAATATGTCCTTTTCGGGAATTTTTATTTAAATCAGTGGTCAAATGGGATTTATAAACTGATACAAAAATGTCACCGACCTTTAGGAGGAAGAATATAATTGTAGATGGGTAGTGGATAAAGCTCCGCTTGAAAGGGGTACGACAGTATACCGGATGTTTCAAATTCGACCCTCACCATTGGGATCTCGGTAAGAAATACAAAGTCGTTTGAGTGGGGGCAAAGTTGCATATTTAGGTGATTAATAAAATGCCGCTTGGAAAGTTTCGAAATTCATAATACTTCCTGAAAGAGATAGAAAAAACCGGATTTTCCCAAAATCGTTTCAATTTTTTCCTGCCTGTATTAGTAATGGGATGTTAAAATAAAATGCACGTTAACATTACCACTTTTTCTCCTCTATAAGATGGCATAATTCGAATTTCAATATGACGTTTCGTCTCTTGTCCTCCAGTTCCAATTCTGATTCCAAAAACGTATAGTATGTCATACATTGACATTTGCACACCTCAACCATTGCAGAAAAACATAATTTCCTAGGTATTATTCCTTAAAAGTATCAGTCATTTGTTTCATATACCAGACCAAACCTCAAATTGAACATAGTAACAGAGTTTGGAAGGTTGTGAAGAAGATAAATATATCGAACACTGACCAGTGTACAAAGAAGAATCAGGCTTGGCCTACAAAATAACGACAATATTTTGAACATATGCTATGATCTAACTATGCTTATTTATGATTATTATGGTTACTACCATTAATAAAATTTAAGGCAGTCAGTCTTCTTCGTATATATATATATATACAGGGTGTTTCAGTTTATTGTTGCATAACTTTAAGATTCGATATAACTTTTAAAATTAATGCATAAGGTCTATATAAACATGGGTCGAAAAATGCGTGGCTTCCGAAATACAGGGTGTTTAAATTTACTTTCTAAAACAGTTTTTTTAAATATTTCGAACAAAATTTGATGTATAACAGTGAAAATTGGTATACAAGGGTTTTTTGGTACGACAAAACGAACCATGGGCATAGTTTTACTGTAGCCGCTAAAGGGCGCTCTCTACTGTACCTGTAGTGTATTAAAATGACCGAAAAAATTTTCTTAGTGCAATTTTTTGCTTTTTGAATAAAAAAACTGATTCTCCGCACTTTTCAACATAAAAAAGCTCTCTTGTGAATTTTTGTTATAGTTAGCCGTTTTTGAGATATTTCGATGCATTTTTAATTATTTATGGTAAAATAACGTTAAAAAGTCAGTATCTCGATAATTTTTAGTAGGCTGTGCCTGCAAATATTTTTGAAATTGAAAGCAGAATAAGGTTAAACGTCAATTAGTTGACAGTTAGTTTTGTTGTCTGTTGAAACCTGAAACGTTTTTTTGCAATTGTGAATGCACGAAATTTTGTTTCTTTTACCTGTTTTTTTTTGTAAGTTTTATAAAAATGCCATTTTTATTCTCCAATCAAAAGTTAGCGGATATTCATTTTGTGTATGGCTTTGTAAATGGAAACGCAACAGAAGCAGCCAGAGAATACGCACGAAGATTTCCAAACAGACGACATCCAACTCGCTCAGTATTTGTAAGAGTGCATCGCCAAATAATTGAAAATGGTTTTGGAAATCTCCAAAGGAATCAAAACATATATGTTCATCAGCGCAGATTTACCCGTATGATTCTGCGTGAGTTTGATAGAGATCCGACCACAAGTGTTAGGAGAGTTTCTGGTGCCTTGGGAATTTCAGCAAGCCATGTTCACCGTGTTTTTAGAAATGACCATAGACGTCCTTACCATTTGCAACCTGCGCAAGGACTACAGCCAGGAAACGGAGAACGAAGAATCACATTTTGTCAGTGGATTCTTGATAGAACTGATAATAATAGGGAATTTTTAAGTAACGTTTTATGGACCGATGAGTCATGCTTCACTAGACGTGGAGTGGTAAATTTTCATAATCAACATATTTGGTCGCATGAAAATCCGCATGCAGTTCGGGAAAGAAATTTTCAGCATGAATTTAGTGTGAACGTGTGGATTGGTATCTACCGTAATCGACTATTTGTACCCTACCTTTTGCCTGCAAGGTTAAATGCTGCGACCTTCTTGGAATTTTTAAAGGCTGAACATGCAAATATGTGGGATGATGTTATGTTAGATTTAAAAAGATTGGCCTGGTTCCAGCTTGATGGTTGTCCAGCTCATTATTCGAGAATAGTTAGAAACTGGCTGGACGAAAATTATCCAGAAAGATGGATCGGCCGTGGAGGACCAGTCGCCTGTATACCAGACTCCCGTAACCACAAGAGATATGCTAATAGACAGAATCAGGAATGCATGTGATGAAATAAGGCATTTGAATAATGCTATACCACGTTCGATCATTCGTAGATGTGAATTGTGTATTGAGCAATTGGGTTTACATTTCGAGCAACTACTTTAGATTTTGTATGTTTGTCCTAACTATCCAATAGCATTTTAGTTGTAAATAATTAATTTAATTTGTTGAAAATAATATTGGAAAATTAAACAAATTAATATTCTGTTTTTTGTGTTTATTTGGAGTTAGGAAGTATTGCTGTATTTAAAAACACAATCTAAACGATCATCTTAATTACTTGTAATGCCCAAATCGAAAATGCAAAAAAATATTATTTTCCCATAAATAATTAAAAATGCATCGAACCTTAAAAAATCGAAATATCTCAAAAACGGCTAACTATAACAAAACTCACAGGAGAGCTTTTTTATGTTGAAAAGTGCGAAGAATCATTTTTTAATCAAAAAGCAAAAATTGCACTAAGAAAAAATTGTCGATCATTTTAATAAACTACAGGTACAGTAGAGAGCGCCCTCTAACGGCTACAGTAAAACTATGTCCATGGTTCGTTTTGTCATACCAAAAAACCCTTGTATACCAATTTTCACTGTTATACATCAAATATTGTTCGAAATATTTAAAAAAAAACTATTTTAGAAAGTAAATTTAAACACCCTGTATTTCGGAAGCCACACATTTTTCGACCCATGTTTATATAGACTTTATGCATTAATTTTAAAAGTTCTATCGAATCTTAAAGTTATGCAACAATAAACTGAAACACCCTGTACATATATATAAAGTGTAATTGTCTATCCGGTCTGTCGGTACCATATCGGAGCCACAATACGGAGAGAGATAAAGGATTTCTTCACTAACCAATTGACATCTGAGGAAGGTTATAGGCAAAGTTTCGTCCGCGAACTCATCACTTTATTAGTGGAACCACATACACCTTCCGCGGATAAGACCGCGGGACATAGAACTAATAAGCTAAAAATGTCGTATATCTCGAAAGTATATGCCTGCCGGATCCTGAGCCACTGCCAATTACGATATAAAAAGCAGCTCTTAACGCAAAGTGGAATATTTGTAGCGCCTCGAACAGGTAATAACTCGTTTCTAGCGCATCGATTATTTATGTAGTCGTCATATCTAAACGGTAACTTTAAATTAATTATTAATTAATAAGAGTAGCGAATATTGGATGAATATTTGATGAAGGATGAGGGTTGGACGTTAGATCGTGCTGCGAATGCGGATTAGCTTGAACTTACGCAACCGCAAACCTCCTTAATAACGAGATGTGGGTACATTGTAAATTCTGACGCTTTGCACGTGCAGGATTAACAACATGAGTTTTGTAGTCCACTCAAATTAGCTTTTAGGCTTTAAAACTACGCCATGCATTTTTTATAGAGTAGAAACTTTTCGATTCAGTCCCTACAAGACATGTGGATTTCGCAAACTTTCAGATTTAAGAAAAATATGAGCAGTTGCAGCTCTGAAATGTGTTCAAATCACTTTACATTTTGGTTTCAGCATTTCAATATCCAGTGATTATTAATCATGATGCTTTAGTATATTCGACCACAATTGTTTCATGCTTCATACTTCTTGGCAACTCCTCATCACGGTCTAGGCAACACAAAGCGCCATCTGTTACCTGAATCGACCACTATTATCGGTTGGAAAAACGCGAATCAGCTGTCCATTGTTGACTGTCTGTTGTCGGACGGAAGCCGCACGTTTAGTTGCTTAATGGCGAGTAAGCTACAACCTACTATACCGCCAGAATCGTCAGCATCTAGCGGTCACACTGGCGAATGTGGTCTTAAACGCAAACTGAGATCTTTACAGTTCCAATCGATAGCTACTATACACTTTCACAGTGGTCGATCCTAGTAATAGATGGCGATTTATGCTGTCTTGTTTCGTTCAGCGATTATGTAGGGGTAGGTCTGAATATATTAATAATAATATGTTATGCTACCCCTAGCGTGCAGGCTTATCTTTTTATTACAACAATATCATTATACTTTTTAAATGCAGTGAATTCGCACTAGTGAATATAAACTGACCCTTCAAATAATAGCAGACAGTATGTTGCCACCAGTACACAGCCGCATGTAAATCATTTAGTGTAATGAACTCAGAGGTGGAAAATAAAATTCAACGAATTGATATCGAGACACGTCTGCTTTACAATTCGAAGACTCACAAGTCATACATAGGTATGGGCCTTAACCCCAGGCTCAAGTGGAGGCACCACATGAAAAAAAAAAGAAGAGAACTGAACCACCGCTGCAAGCAATGGTAAGCTCCTCAAAGATATCGCTCCATTTAACCAAGTTCTATAAACAGATCTTAAATCCTGTGTAGCTTTGTGGTTGTCAACAATGAGTCTATTACAAGAATTCTAACACTGAAATTATTCAAAGATTCCAAAATAAACTTCTGAGGAACACAGCGGATACGCCTCCCAGCTAGCACAATCATGTTTTGATGACGTCGAAATTTGGTGATAACGTCTACTAAATTTCCAATAGTGTATGTGTACTGCAGGGCATTGTTACGGCGTGTTTTTGATATTATCTTATCATATTGAGTGACAACTGACAGTGAACGACAATCGCGAATCGCTGCTATCGACCAATCGACGTTATTCCTTCCGTACTCCCGCCATTTGTGTATGGTGCCCGCGCCTCATTGCTGCAACTTCCACGTTTGTACCGTCGCGCTAATTTTTGGTTGTGATTCGTATACTGAGTATGCCCAAAGCTATGGGAAAATAGGCTAATTTGAAACAGCTCCAGGTTAACGTTACTTTAATTCTCCAACGTGTTGTACAATGTATATTATCCGTAGTATTACACAGCTCATAGAGTGTATAAAAATACAACATTACATGGTGTAGTGTATATACTCCAAACGCCGTGTAATCTGGTACAGCAAGGGATCCATCAGCTATCCAGAATCTCTCCACCTGCTGGACAACCACAATGCTGTCTGGCGCTCAAGGAGGCCAAGCCGTACGAACTTGTGTAGTATTTTGTGTCTAAAGCAGAGCATGTAATTGTATCAATTATACGTTGAGATTAACTAAAAGTCATCAATGGATTGCCTATAGTGAAAAGTCGTCGCTTTAATGCAGAACTAGCCATTTTGTGATTCTTACAGCAAACGATAGACTGAGGCATAGCGCATTCAATGCAGAAGTAATCTAAGTCGATAGAGCTCTGGCATGGGTGTTTTTATTTAGTATTAGTTTGTAAGAAGATACAGCAAAGGTAATAGTTGATTATTATAAATTAATTAGTTTGAATATCCCAAAGATCAGTATACAGCAAATGATTAAGACTTAATAATTATTATCTCACCTGATCTTCAATCATATCCTTCCTGATGAACTTGAGCAGCTCCAAATGCGAGTGAAATTGGTCGACGACTGTTAACGGTTGCTTCAGCAGGTGTTCTGGAACGATAAATACACCAGATCAGAGTGGGCGAGGAAATGAACGGCTAAGTTGGCTGCAATTGGTGCAACCAGCACTTACACTAATTGACATTTCCTCAGTCATCAACTGAGAATGATTTTGGGAATATGCTACATAGTAAACAAAACATAAGTTGTATCTAGCATCAATGAATAATGGTGAAAAATTTTTAATCAAGGAAGTTTATAGTGAAAGACGTCTAATAAAACCGTTAACATAGAATTTTTTTTATGAAAGAGTACGTTTAAAGATGACTTGACGAAATCTTAGAAACATGGGTCTTAAAATGCTCCCATACCAAAGTCGAGTTAAAGACTTAAACATATTTAAGTGTTTCAAATTTGACTCTCTCCATTGTAATCTCGGAAAAGATAACTGTTACGAAGTCGCTTAAGTGGGGCAAAGTTGTGCATTTGGGTTACTAAGAAAATGGCACTTAGAAGGTCAATTTCGGTTATTGCTGCAGAGAAACCGGATATACCGAACATTTTTAAAATCGTTTTTATTTTTTACTGACTTTATCTGAGATGGGACTAAAAAAAACACACTAACATTGCCACTTTTTCTCATCTACAAAATAACATAATTATTAGACTTTCACTATGACATTTCGTCTATTGTCCTCAATCAACTTTATTTTTTTATGGACGCCTTATTGAATACGATGAATGGATTTTTTGATTCTGCTTTCTAAGATATAGAATATGCAATATGTTGACATTACCAAAGCTACGTTATTTCTAAAAAACTAATATTTTTATACTTGGGCTTGAAAATGACAGTTTATAACATGCCTACCTGATTAAACCACCAATGCTCCTGTTTTTTCAGAATAGTGTTTTCAGGACATTTAGATACTTTTGGCCATTTATAGTATAACAAGTGTTATTTCATTACGATAGAGGCACTCTACATTTCACCTCAGCCATAAATTGATATCATTTGAATGCAATATGTGTAATCGGTTTAGAGATACCGGATCTGAAATGTGTTTAGGAAGCTGCAATATCGTCTAGGGTTCTATTCACTCCATTTTATTTTACTAGTTACATAAAGTAGTAATATCAATCCACGTCACAATTTGTACAATATCACATCATTAAAATGGGAAATAGGGACTGAACACCCATGCCAAGTTCATAAAAACTGAAGGAATGCTTGATGTTATGAAATAAATATGTCTATCTGATAATTTCAAAGACTACTTTTTTGAACTAATGAAGGATTGAAAAAGTCAATAGTGACATATACATTTTTGGAGTCAGAATTCAAGACTTTATTCAGCTGAGCAAACATCCATAAGAGAAAATAAATTTGATGGTTGAGGGCAAGAGTCGAAACGTCATATTAAAATTCTACCTCTGCCCATCTTATAGAGGAGAAACAGTGGTTGGTAATGTTGATGTGTTTTTTATGTCTCTCAAAAAGTCCGGAAAAAATAAAAACTAGTTTGAGAAAATTCTGTTTTTCGGACTCTTTCCAGAAATCCCATTTTCGTAGTTACCTCAATGCAGAACTTTGTCTCAATGTCATTTACCATTTCCGAGATCCCAATGGTGATAGTCGAATTTGAAACAACCGGTATTCTCGGGTACCGAAACGGAAGAGAGCCTTTGAGTCGGCGAAGTGGCTGAGCGCGTAACCTGTCCAATTCAAAAGGACCCAGCGTTTTTCCGTGTCTTACGTTTCGGTGCCAGAAGATAGTACCAACATCGTATCCAATAGTGTAAATACAAAACTGTCTGGCTCAAACTATAACTGTCATGCTAGCGAAGAAAGAATAAACAAGTTTTACGCGCGGATTTTCTTAAAATCATTTTTAATTTCACTCGAATTGTCACTTTTGAGAAAAGGCTCTGTATTTTTCCAAGTAAGGTATTTTTCTAAACGTTATAGATCAGGTCAGTACTAACTTTGAGCAAGATGGCCTTGAGCCTCATTTTGACTGTAACAGTGGTACACGAGAACGTAAAATTTCCCATTATTAGGGTCCATGAGGCGAGTTCCCAATTAAAAGCAAAAGTTCATGTATGATACAAATACTGCGTCGAGGGCATAATGTTGAGAAATATTCTTCCTTTAATCGAACATATAGGTAAACGGTCTGTTTTTATTAATTTATTTATACAATTATTTTTGTTGAATATAATTATTAAGCATAATTATATAATTATGAAATTGAATTATTAAATGCTGACATGAATTAGTTTTGAGCTATTTTTTTTAATTTCAATACCAATAGGTAATATTAGAATAAAGTTCTTATTTTGCATTACAGTGTTTTTTATTTGAAAAAATAATAAATTATGAAAACTACGGAAAAGGTAGCAAATTTGCTTTGCAGAGTATAAAAGCGGTAAATCACATGTTGTTGCTTCTTGATTTACGACAATTAAAGACGGAAGGTAATTTAGGTGCTTTAGCCCTAGACATCAATTATGACCCGAAATCAAACTTAAGTTCTCCATAAAGGCATGTACCTTTGCAATGTTTATCCACTTTTGTGGCAATGTAGCAATATCATTTAGCTAGTTCGAAAGAGTCATATTTTTGATTTTTTTTACCTCTATAGGTCACCTTGATCTTAGATTTTAGTACAAATTCGGACGTAGAATTTTCCGTTCCGTCGATTGACGGTAACTAGAAGAAGGCTTACAATATTATTGGTAACCTTGAAGATGAGGATTAATGTCAGATCCAAGGTCACCGTTGAGCTCTTTGTTTGAAGGTAGAATAGATCTGAGCTGTTCCTTTTTCAAAATTCATTTATCTGGAAAATCACAGAGCCGTTCCGTTAATTTTTTTATGGTATATGAAGACTGGGCACTCACCGATTATATATCCCATAGTTACGTCATCTGGCAGTCGGATCCGTTCTCCAGTACTGACAAACCTTCCTTCACTGTAAGAAAAGAGACAAAATATGACTCACAATGAAACAAGAACTTAATGAACATAAGATACACTTATGAACCTAAACTGCCCTCCTGAATGTTGCTATATCGGCGCCCATGGAGACTCGATCTCCCGATCTATTTACAACTGTCGTGTACCCTTCAAATATAAATAAGTATTTTTTATGCAGAAGTGGTATCATGTAAGATGCATTTTTAGCGTATCCTATTGCCCTTTGGCCTTAACCGACCGATAAAGGTCACTTTGAAGTATAAAGATACCTTTTGATCATGGTGCGTTAATTGAATTAATGCGTGGGATTCGCTATATCACATGGGTCGATGAGTTATGCTCAAAGTAGCTGCACTGGAGTTATAATAAAAACTAGGGGCCGTATTTTTGAAATCAGTGATAAAAGCCGTATGCGTAAAGTTTATCACCGTTGTCATGACGACACTGAAAACTTGTTACCCTTACAATAGACACTGCGGCATTTTGAACAAAATTTGTATAAAAGTATGATTTATTCCTAATATGGCTAATGTAATATACCTATGACAAAAATATGATGATTAAAAAGTTAGTAAAATCCTTTCACCTCATTTATCAGAATATAAAGGTTGGCCCTAAAGATGAAAATAGGGACATCAAGCGATTTATGCGAGCGCATTAATGCCTGGTCATACAGAAAATGTTGGTCCAAGGGTCAAATCTCAGCTTCGACCAAACTTTTTTCTTTTTTGTTCATTCAAGAGTACAGCAATGTTAATTTCTTGTATTCTGACCTATTCGAATATCAATTTGTACTAATTTTTGCTAGAACGTAGCATGATTTTTCTTGAGTGATTCAACATTCAATAGTGATATCTGTAGTTATAGTGGCAGTTTAATCTTCGAATTTGCACTACTATTGCAAAAAATCGGTAGTTTAGGGTCCTGAATCTACGTTGTCTCCACAATTTAATGTTCAGGTGACATTAACAAAACCAATAAAAGTAGTTTATTTTCGTAACCAGTGGCGTCCGTCCGGTTGTTTTTGTCTTGTCAAATAACAGCGTATAGCATTGCCACCCAGTCGCAGCGGCATTTATGCCTGCTGCAACAGATCCTTCAGGTATAATTTGCTAATATCCTGCTCGTCTTTCATATATTCTTGTGTCAACCTATCGTTGGATAGCTTGAAGATCTTTAATGACCTTATGGACAAAGGTATTGCTTGGTCTTGGACTGCCTATAGGGAGATTGGTGCAGAAATTAAGGGGTTAAAATCAGAAAATAAATACAAATAAACGAATCTTTAGTTTTGGAGCCATCCTATATAAGTTATAAGACCTCCTTAGAACAGGTACAAAGGGGTTTTCTCAATGTGATGGTTCATATCCTATAACGGACATTTCTGATGTTAATCTGTGTTACGAGCTTGGTTCGACACTCCTTGCTTTGAGGCGCATTCAATCTCTCTTAATAGTCTCGTATCTGCTCGAGAAAAGAACTTATTTGTTTTTTTTACATAGTATAATGAAGGAATTTAGTGAATCTGTATGTGGCCTAGCCCAAATTGCCTTTAAAATTGTTTAGACATTTTTTTTAGCAAGGTTCAAAAGTTAGACAGCTTTCTTGAGTTCATTTCGGTCATTCTGGGTACAAAAGGTTCTTATCAACTTTCTCTAATGTTGATAGTTTTCGAGATACAAGCGGTTTAACATTTGAAAAAGTGCAAAATATCCATTTAACCACTTTTATAGTAAATATTTGTTTTTTACTTGTGAATCAAGAGCGTGTTCTCGCAGAATATACAATGAGTTGGAAAGTTACAATTTTAAATGGCATTATGATTCACCTAGGTGTTCCTTGTTACTCTTATTTACCTAGGGAGACAAAAGCTACTTGTCAGTGGAGCATTGCGATCAGTAACGATGAACAAAAAGGTAGAATTATTTAAAGTATTGTGAATCTATTAAAATTATATATGGTATATCGTGTCATGTAGATAGATCTCTCACATTATATAAAAATACTCACTCAAGTATGACTTACTGTTCAAAGTAGATTCGGTATATGTATACTGTTAAACAACGAAAGTATCTACCGTATGACGTTATTCTATGATGTGCATCTAAAAACTATCATGGTACTTTTGAGCATTTTATTTCCACTGCAGCAACTTTATTCGTAACGCGTCACTCCAGATGACACAAATCGAAATTCCCATCTCCGCTGTCGCCACTTTAGAAAGAAAAAATAAAATTGGAAAAGATAAAATTTCCTGCCATAGCTGCAAGTTCGCTAGTCAAACTTGAAGTGTTTTAATAAACGATTTGACTGTTCCAAAACTTATTTTTATTTCTTTCACTTACTGAAAGAGACGCGAAGTTGAAATGACAGAAATGGATTGTCACCGATGTTATTTAAATCCACGACCGCACGACTTCTAGATGAGCGTTTTATGGTTTCAGTCACAATAACGCACTGCTTTTCAAGCCCATAAAGCAAACTAAACAAAATGTAGCGAAACTTTAAAAGTGTAGTGAATAACGAAAATCTCGCATTTTTGCTTTTCAAAACATTTATTATTGATTAACCTGAAACCGCTAAACAAATACCATATTCGCACATCTGCAAAACTAAAAAACCGTCGCGTCCTCTATGAGGATTTGCCACACCTATGTTTCTCCTCTCCGCGGTAGCTCTACTTTGAAAAGCTTAGTATATCTAAGATGGCCTGTATACACTGAAAACGTTTTTCCTTATGATCGATTTTTAATAATATCTCAAGCAAAATAATTGATTTTATAAATCGATTATACATTTGTATAATCGATTTTTAATAAATCGATTATAAGAATTCGTTTTTATGGTATTGTTTTGAAACTAGTATGTAGATGTTTTAGTTATTTTCATACTCACAATATTGTTTGATTTATATTCTGGCGAATTGTTGATATTGGCTTAGAATTTTATTATTGCTACATGTACATGTTTATATAGAAACATGCAGTTTGTCGACTGATAAAAAAAATGATTTTCCATAAATCGATTTTTTTCCTAATTGTCACATCCCTAATTCATAAGGAGCTGTAAAATGTGGTATCTACGCCAAAAAAAACACAGCATTTTTGTATCAATGTCAACGTAAGTGAAGAAGCTATTTAAAAAGCACTGTATGTATAGCAAATTGAAACACCCTGTATATGCTCAACAATGTGGAACGACAAGACACGAACAGTCAGTTCTCACTTAGTTATCTGATCCAACGATAATTAGCATTTAAACAGTCGGTGAAAAAAATAACAGAAGCACGGACAGACAGTCGAGTTTACATTTGTAGAAACGCTAGCGAGAGGAAGAATACGGAGATGGAGATTAAACCGATTCTAGGAGCTGGTGCTAAGCGAAGCTGCGAACAGATACAGTTCACGAGCGAGTACTTTAAATGGCTGGAAAGTCATGAGATTCAATCTTGGAGGTCGCTGTAAAAGGTGTTAATCAATTTGTGAGACCTCACCTCTAGGAATGCGTAGTTCTTGGGTTTTATGGTTTTTAGCGAAGATATAGTAATGAAGAAGTTAGTTCACATAAATGAGAAAATGTCTTGTTTAGAAAATAAGGAGTTAAAAAAAAACAAGATCAGTAAAAAAAAAAAGTTAATGCCGAGAGCGCTGAAAATATTTGATTATTACATCGAATTATCAGCCAGCCATTATTCATCAACATTTATCATTTGATGTTTTTTCACGCAAAATTTGTTAGCTAATGCCGTTAACTAACAATGACTGGGGCATTAAAGATTGAAGATCCAGGATTGCAGCTATACACCCCACATTCGATACATGTACAGAAACGCAACCTCGCCAGTTAATGACACGTTTATCTTGTAGCTACTTTGCGCTCGACGGGGGTATAAAATATTTACATTTTAGGTCTTGAGGGAAACCTAGCGTATAAATACAGTAACGCCAAGATTGAGGCTGCAGTTCCCGCTTCCAATTTTTTACTAGTCAAATACGAGCAGGGTTGCGTGAAATGTAAAAAACACGAAAGCTGAGCGTTTTTTTTTTTTTAGTTTTTTGCTTGTAGCACTAGCACTAGCTTCTTCGTCCTTGGCATAGTAGTAACCTTGTGTCAAAACTTCCTCAAAATTCGATCGGCACCTTCCAAGTTATGGCGGGGACAAGGATTAGCGGACTGATCGACAGACAGTTCGACGGAAATGACTGACTGGGTTTTACTGATGTAGATGTCACCTAGCATCCAAAAAACTTAATATCTCATTCAGGAATTTTTCGCGATTACAATACGCCAGTTGGCGTGGGAGGCAAGAATAAGAAAAAAATGGTTAATAAAAGTTGGTTGGTTAAAGAAACTGCCAAGTTGGCAATCTTTAGTAACCTGCCTAGGGAAATATGCCTACACAATCAAGAGGACACGTTAAATAATCCTTGTTAAAATAAGTTTTGATATCATCCTCGAATCCATCAATGCCATCGTTTTATTGGGAGGGACTAATGAATTGGTTATCAATTATGTGAAGATATATCGGAATTTTCCTTCCGTACTATCTTTTGACATTGACCGATCAATTAAAAACTATGGTTTGGTTAAATGATGATTTTATATTTAAACCAATCTGAAATGGAGTGTCTACCGATTCACCGAAATGAAACAAAATTAATCACTCAGATATTAATGGTTTCTCTAATGGACAAAGCTAAATGTATGACAAGTATCCTTAATTGATGGACTAATATTAGTCGGTAATGGATTTAGACATAATATGACTTTCTAATTAATGAATTAGGAGAATTAAATATTCTGTATCATAGATCGTGTAATGGTGTCTAATTCATACAGTAAGTTCTGATGATGGGCAACCATTAGGTAAGATGGTATGCTTAAAAAAATAGTGTCTAGTTGATTGAGATAATATATTATAGTATAAATGTATATAAGTACAAGCAAGAACGATTATAATCAGTTATCAAGGACTGATGACAGACAGTGTTACACCAG